AAAAAAAAAAAAAAAAAGATGCAAAGGTATGTGGTTTCCTCTTATTGCTAATACTGTAAGAAGAATTGAGGAACTCAGGCTTATGACAAAGAGATATGACAGATAAGGGAGGCAGCTTCAGAGGCTGCTAAGAAAACAGATTCACCTTGGGCTATGAAAGTTTCTAGCTTATGAACTTTTTAGCAACAAGAAATCTGTTACTCTTCCAGTAGTGGCTCCCAGAAAGCTGCCTTTATTACAAATGGCTGCTCTTTAGGTTTGTAGACCTAACAAGCCTGCTGATGTCAAGAATATAAGCTTTCAGGCTGGGCAAGGTGGCTCACACCTGTAATCCTAGCACTCTGGGAGGCCCAGGCAGGTGAATTGCCTGAGCCCACAGGCTGGAGACCAGCTGGAGCCAAAGCAAGACCTCGTCTCTAAAAAATAGCTGGGTGTTGTGACAGGCACCCAGTTACTTGGGAGGCTGAAGAAGAGAATCGCTTGAGCCCAGGAATTTGAGGTTGCTGTGAGCTGTGATGCCATGGGGCACTACCAAAGGCGACAAAGTGAGACTCTTGTCTAAATAAATGCAAGCCATTAGTGCAGCGGTTCTCAACCTGTGGGTCGTAACCCCTTTGTAACAATGAATTACATCGTAGCATTCGGAAGGTTGAGAACCACTGCATTAGTGGGACAGGACCTGGGCACTGGGCCTGCGCGGCAGGAAGCCCCTGCACCTGTACCTTCAGTTGCTGGTTTGTCCGCTTCAGGAACTGAATCTCCTCGTTGTGCTTCTTCTCTTCCACCTGTCGCCTCTCATTCTCCCGCTTCTCTGTGGCCTCACATTTTGCTTTCTGCTCATTCACTTGCCTCTCCAAGTCTCTCCTTTCGGTCTCCAATTCTGCAATCTGAGGACAGAATGCCCAGTCATCATGGGATGTTAGCAGGTGGATGGGTGGTGGGAGAACCTGGGAGGACAGGTTGGGGGCCACAGCTGTTCATCTCAAGACATTGCCAGGGTGTGTGCTGCCACCCAGTGGGAGGTCAGTGACCAGCATGGAACATCCACAGAGGAGATGATCCTGCTGGGACCACCAGCCTGACTGTTACCCTCAACTAAGAGTCCTCTCTGAGGTTATGCAGGTCCAGCGGTGGTGAATATTAGAAGAGTGCCTTAAGGGGCCAGAGTTTAGTGCTGGAATGACAACCACGTGGCCCTGAGGTTGACAGATGAGTCACAAAGGGCCAAAGGTCATGGTAAACCCCACTCACTTTCCTCTCCATGTCTGACTTCCCCTGTTCGGCCTGCAGAGCCTTCCTCATGCCGAACGCCACACTGCTCTCGTACAGGGTCTGGTAGGCAGCGATAGTCATGCGGATCTCGTCCCGGACTCGCAGCAACAACAGCCCCCTCTCTGCACAGTTGATGGTGACCTCCCGGATCAGCTCATCTTCCAATGCACACACACCAGGAGATCAGAGAAGGCGGGGGGGGGGGGTGCATGTCTATTGCAAACTACCTTTCCTCTTGGGAAAGCGTCTAGGGTGTGTTCTCCTGGCTTGGAGACAAGCTCTCAGAGAAGGTAGTCAGGGAGGGTGCCCTCAATGGCCCACACAGCCTTGCTACGCGGATCCTCCTCTGGACTTGGTACTTTGGAGTAGCACACAGTCAGCAAACCTAGGTTGGCCAGGGCAGAGGGAGGCAAGAACCTCCAGTTCGTTTACAGCAGTAAACCCCCCCTTTCCATCCTCAGGCAGAAACTGGGTACTAATTATTCAAAGAAATATGACTTTTTCAGTTGACTGTTTTAATGCAGCTAGGAAATCCTGTGTACCCCCTTGGCTGGACTGGTTTGGGTTCTTAAAACAGCAGGGACTACTGGCCCACCTAACTCCTCCATAAATGCTGACCTGAAGGGAAAGCATAGTTATACTCAGACAGGGGAATGTGCCAGGCCCTGCAGCTGCCTGAGCGCTTAGAGGTGGTTTGTAGCTCAGAGTCCACAAGGGCCAGTGAGACTGCGCTGGGGGACAGCCATTTGATACCACCACTCAGGGTAGATCTTAAATCTTTTCTGTCTGTTGGTTAACAACAAAAAATTGCCCTGCAATATTTTTCTGGACCAAATGTTGATAGATGGATATAAATATAGAATATTAACTTTTCTGAAGAAAAAAATTAGCATATGATGGCTGGGTGGAGTGGTTCATGGCTGTAATCCCAGTACTTTAGGAGGCCAAGCCAGGAGGATCATTTGAGGCCAGGAGTTTGAGACCAGTTTGGACAACATAGCGAAACCCTGTCTCTACAAAAAAAATTTTTTTAATTAGAAGTTGGGTGCAGAGGCTCATGCCTGTAATCCTGGTACTCTGGGAGGCCAAGGCAGGAGGATCATGAGGTCAAGAGTTTTAAGACCAGCCTGAGGAACAGCATGACCCCCATCTCTACTAAAAATTGAGCTAGGGTGGCACCCGAGCTCAGTGGGTAGAGTGCCAGCCATATACACCAAGGCTGGCAGGTTAGAACCTGGCCTGCACCAGCTAAAACAACAATGACAACTGCAACAACAACAACAACAAAAAATAGCCGGGCGGTTGTGGCAGACATCTGTAGTCCCTGCTACTTGGGAGGCTTAGACAAGAGAATCACTTAAGCCCAAGAGTTTGAGGTTGCTGTGAGCTGGGATGCCACGGCACTCTACCTAGGGTGGCAGCTTGAGACTCTGTCTCTGTCTCAAAAACAAAAAAGAAAAGAAAAGAAAAATTAGCTGGGTGTGATGGTGTATGCCTCTAGTCCTAGCTACTTGGGAGGCTGAGGCAGGTGGCTCATCTGAGCCCAGGAGTTTAAGGTTGCTATGAGCTGTGATGATACCACTGCACTCCAGCCAGGGAGACAGAGTGAAATCTTATCTCCAAATAAATAAATAATCATAAGGTTATTATAGGAATCTTTTTTTTTTTTTTTTTGCAGTTTTTGGCTGGGGCTGGGTTTGAACCCGCCACCTCTGGCATATGGGGCCAGTGCCCTACTCCTTTGAACCATAGGTGCTGCCCTGTTATTAGGGCACCTGAAATCTTTGAATAAGATTTCAAATGGACATTCTTATCTTACTCCAAACATCTGCTAAGGGGTAAGGAGCCCAGGGTATTAGGAACATAGTGACTGGCAGCTGCGGGACTGGCAGGGGGAGGATGGGACATTTAGCAATTGCTATGTGGGGCAGGCACGGGAAGAAGAGATGATCCCAGCATAGGATGAGCTTCAGCTCAGGGCTGGGATCTGAGCTGGAGGGATGGGAAGAAAGCAGTAGCACCCACCCCCTGTCCAGCCCACTCACCAAAACACTGTGAGTAGAGCTCCCTGCGCACAGGACAGATACCAGTCTCCCTGGCCTGTCGCTGCTGGAGCTTCAGGTCCAACTGCTCCTGCAGATGCACCACATCCATCCTGGTACTGGGGGTGCTGGACACCTGCTGGATCCATAGCTGCGTGTCTTCTACCCACTCCCTGCAGCACAGACACAGCCAGGCTGAGCAAAACCCATTGACTTGTGAGCAGAAGTGAGAGACAGTTTTGCCCAACCCACCAGAATCCTCCATCCCTCCTTGGAGTGTGAGTCTCCAAAGCCACACCTACTCTGCTGTCTCCATGGGGACCCTACTTTGGGACTGGATAGGTGGGCAATTTCTACTCTAAGGGTCCTCTGAAATCATCACCCACTGTTCCTTACCTTCCTAACTGCCTTACGACAGATTTATGGTCATTGTAGCTTGATCTGAACAGAAAGCTGAGTGGGAATTCCCCACTGGCTTATGGGGAGGGAGACACAGGACAACATAAACCTTGTGCAGACCAGAAGGAGGCAAATGTATGCAATGGGGTTGGGGGAGTTCTTGAACGTGTATGCTTGCATGGGTCTCCCATAATGAACCTTGTACCAGAGGCGACCAGGTTTTGGAATTACAGGGAGCTTGAGGGCATAACTGCCACATAGGAAAGGACCTCTATGCTGCTGGTGGGAGGGAATCAATTTAAAAATCACCCCCTCCCTTGACCTCCATCTAGGAGGAGATCACGGCCTGTCTTTGACTGTTCTTCCTTTTCATCATTGTTTTAACAACTGTGCTGTTAGCTTGTTACATGGAAACAGTTGAAAAGACATGCAGGAAAAAGCAGAAGAAAAAAGCAGGGAAAGGAGCTTGTGCTGGGGAGAGGTGCTCTTTTATACAGGACTTGAGTGAAGAAATGAGGGGACCAGGAAGCTATCCAGGGAAGAGCATCCTTGGTAGTGAGAACAGCCACTGCAAAGGTCCCCAAGGTGGGAGAGTGATTGAGATGCTTCAGTAACAGCAAACCAGGCCCCCATGAGTTCAGCATAGTGAACAGGGAGGAGACGAAGAGGAGATAAGTTTGAAGATATATCATGGGTCAGAGGATGCCACATCTTCCAGGCCACTGCAAAGACTTTGTGTTTGAGTCTGAGTCAGATGGGAAACCATTAAAAGGTTTCTGGCAGGCCAGGTACAGGCCTGCCTGTAATCCTAGCACTCTGGGAGGCCAAGGTGGGTGGATTTCCTGAACTCAGGAGTTTGAGACCAGCCTGAGCAATAACATCTATCTCTACTAAAAATAGAAAAATTAGCCAGGCATTGTGGTGGGTACCTATAGTCCCAGCTACTTGGAAGGCTGAGGCAAGGAGATCCCTTGAGCCCAAGAGTTTAAGGTTGCTGACTTACAATTTAGAGGCTCTGTGGAGAATAGATTGTAGGACCAGAGTGGAAGCAGGATTTTCGGCTAAGAGACCACCATAAGAGTACAGTGGCCAACAGAGATGAGGAACGAGATAGTGGAGGTGAGAGTTGTGAAAAGTGGTTGGATTGGGGATTAAATTTAAAAGTGAAACCAAAAGAATTTGATGAAGAATAGACACATGATAAGAGAGACCAAAGGGAAGGAAAGTTGTTAGAGTCCCTAGTAGAAAGGAGAAGACTGGGGATGAGCAGTTAGAGAAGGAAGAACCAACTTCCTTGAAATTTCATTTGGAGAGTTTGCCATAGCTATTGGACATCTTCCTGAAGGTAGTGAGGAATTAGAAGACAGGTTTAGGGGAGAAAACAGGGGAGGAAATGCATACTGGGAGCCATCAGCTTAAGGGTGGTCTGTAAAGTCCTGAGATTAGGTGATAGCATCAGGAGATGAGGGCAGATTGAGAAGAGGTTTCCCATCACCTTCCCAGGATCCAGCCGTCACTAGGTTCTAGCTCTGTCTGGGATGCTGGGAGGAAACGTCAACCAGGATTAGAGGCAGAGTGCCTCCCCCTACAGTCCCAAATTCTGGAATGCAGAAGCCTAAGCCTTCTCCCAGCCACTCTTCTTCTTACTTTACCTTGGGGGTAGAATGGCATTCAAGATTTCTTCTGCCTGTTTTGTAGGATCTGTGACACAGGAGGTTGAGGGAAGCTTGGTTTTGGGTGGGACTGCACCTGAGGGTCCAGGCTGCTGAGGGCTGACTTTCAATGGTCGAGCCTGAGAAGAGACAGGCAAGGGCGGAGAATAATTCAGGCTCTCAGCTCCACACATCCCGCCCGTGGGGACCTTTTCAGGTCCCCTGCCCACCCAAACCTTCCCTATACCCAGCTTACTTTGTCTTCTCAGCAGAAATCATGTCTCAGAGCTGAAGGAGGCCATAGCTCTAACTCAATGCTTGAACAGGAGTTTCTGGCACATGCGCTCAGGCCTAGGCTTTCCCACCTCTAGTGATGGAGAAATCACTACCTGATCTATTCTCGGACCCAGCTACCATGAAGAAAAATGAATTCCATCCACCTCCCTGTGACTTCCTTTCTCCTAAATCTTTTTTCTTAAATCTCCCTTTTTCCTCCTAAATCTGCCTTCTGGGATAACACTCCATATCTTGGGATTCTTGTACCGCTCTCCCACCCCTCCTTTCCTGTTTCAATTCCTTTACTCCCAGTAGTTGCAAACCCTGTCCCTTGAGATTCCCAACCCTCAACGCGGGGATCTGTCTTTCCTCATTGAAGCTTCCAGGCTTCCTCATCTCTTGAGCGCCTTCCTTACCTTGGGGCTCCGTTTCTCCGTGTTCCGGCTCACTAGCACCGGGGTGTCGTACTTGAGCAGAGAGTCCGCAGGGGGGATCATGGCGGCGGTGGCAGGGGTAGCAGCCCAGCAGCCGCGGCCCCTCCAAGCTGGGCCTTGTTTGCCGTCACCATGGAAACGTCCCCTCCATCCTCATGGCCTGGGCGGGGCTTCGGGTGGGGGTGGGGCCCCGTCCTTAGCGCCCGGGTTTCCTTCTTCCGCATCAGCATCTGGGAAAGCTCTTACGTTTAGCTTCTTAGGCCGCTGAGTGCACCAACTTTCCCCAGTACTTGGGTAAGCAGAGAAATCCGGGGTTCGAGTTGTAATGTGCAGATCACCTTTGGTGAGCCCCAGTTTTACCACCTGAAAAACAGGAATCATCTGACTCCTCAAAGAAAAGTTGGGGATGATTCTCAAAGGACGGCATCTGGAGTTCCCAGGGGGATTTTCTTGGCCGGGGAGAACCAGGTTTGGTGGCTCAGCCCTGTAATCTTAGCACTCTGGGAGGCCGAAGGGGAGGATAGCTTGAGCTCAGGAGTTGTAGACTGGCCTGAGCCAGACCCCATCTCTACTAAAAATAGAAAAATTAGGGCGGCGCCTGTGGCTCAAAGGAATAAGGCACCGGCCCCATATGCCGAAGGTGACGGGTTCAAACCCAGCCCCGGCCAAAAACTGCAAAACAAAAAAGAAAAGAAAAATTAGTCGGGCATTGTGTCAGTCTCGCGCAGTCCCAACTACTTAGTAGGCCAAGGCAGCTGAATCCCCTGGGTGAGCCCAGGAGTTTGAGGTTGCTATGAGCTAGGTTGAAGCCACTGCACTCCCGTCCGGCAAAGAGTAAAATTCTGTCCCCCAAAAAAAGGGGTATTTGGGTTTTTTTTTTTTTGAGACAGTCTTACTTTGTCGCCCTTGAGAGTGCTGTGGCATCATAGTCACAGGAACCTCAAACTCTTGGCCTCCAGAGATTCTCTTGCCTCAGCCTCCCAAGTAGCTGGGACTATAGGTACCTGCCACAAGGCCCGGCTATTTTGTTGTTGTTATTGCAGTTGTCATTGTTGGTTAGCTGGCCCTGGCTGGGTTCGAACCTGCCAACTTTGGGTGTAAATGGCTGGCACTGTAACCACTGTGCTACAGGTGCCGAGCCAGGACTTATTTTTTTTTTAAATTGATAAATGACAACGTAGCAGAAAGTTTAGGAAATAGCAGAAGAAATACTAATGATTTGCCCATGGTTTTGTTTTCTGAAACAGAGTCTCACTGTGTAACTTTTGGTAGAGTGCTGTGGCATCACAACTCACAGCAACCTCAAACTCTTGGGCTTCAGGGATTTGCTTGCCTCAGCCTCCCAAGTAGCTGGGACTACAGGCGCCCGCCACAACGCCCAGCTATTTTTTTGTTGCAGTTGTCATTGTTGGTTAGCTGGCCCAGGCTGGGTTTGAACCTGCCAGCCTGGTTGTATGTGGCTGGCGCCCTACCCACTGAGCTACGGGTGCCGCCTGCCCATGGTTTTCTATCTCTGATTGCATTTCTGTCTTTTCCCTTTGTACTTTCAAATATAAATGTAATCACAGTTTTGGATACAAGTTTATATCCTGGTTTATGGTTACTAAGTTGTTTTTTTTTTCCATTTGCCATATATATTTTGTAAATAGCTTTACTAAAGGCCACTTAACAACCACTAACTGGCTAAACAGTCCCCTACTGCTAGGCATGTAGGTCCTCTTAGTATTTTTCTGATTACTAATAACTGTGGGGTAGGAACCAAGGGAAACAACCCCTTTCCTCCTCTGAAGGGTTGCTCAAAAATCAACTCACAAATGGCAAATTGGAGAAAAGGCATACAAATTTATTTAACACAGAGATACAGAAAGAATCAGAGTGATTGCCCAGCTCCCAAAGGAAAGCTATATTCCATCTCGGCAAATCAGGTTATAGAAGGGAAAAGAGGGATTCTGTTGAGGGGCAGTCAAGGATCACTAGGGAGAATGACTGGATCAGGGAAGAGATTAACTTGTAGATTAGTTTTCTTTGATAGTGAAAGGGTCTGTTCACTGGCAGTTACATTCTTGGTCTTACAGGGAAGGGAAGAAAAAAATAATTGTTTCTTTTGTTAGGGCCGCGTCTAGGCAAATAAGGAACTTCAGCTTCATCCTGTACTTTGAGAGAGCTGGTAAGTGTGTGGGGGAGGGCAAGAGAGAGCTTCAGGCTTCTTCAGGTCAGAATGTCAAGCCACCTTAATTTGGTTCCAGCAGTGGCAGTTAACAACCTTGAGAGGTGGTGGTTTTTATTTTGTTTGGGGTATTTTTGCTGAAAAAATTATCTTTATTATAAGGAAAATACACAGAAAAACAGAGCTAGCAGGTGGTAGGCAGACAGGGAAAATATAATCACTGAGAGGCTGCCCCAAACATGGCTTCCTACTATAGAGAATTATTTGGCTCTTACCTCATCTGCCATTCATGATTGAAAGAAACTTGCCCTAGCAGGACTGGAGTCCCCTTTTCCAATCTGTTCTCTTCTTGGAAGCTTGATAAAAGTTGTATAGTTCTCAGGCTATCAAGATATAGAAGAAAGTATGGAGAAGTATGTTATAGCCCCTTATTCCAGTGCTTTCCTCATGCCTGTGGAACTATCCCCAGCCCCATCCCTCAATATTTGTTCATAGCAAAGGCATGAACCACAAAGGAATTGAGGCGACTTAGGCAGTAGTACACTGAGTGTTGATGAGGAGGCGAGCAGCATCATACTTGGTGTAAAGCTACTGTGTAGAGCACAATAGGAGAGATGCTGAAGAACTTGTAGGAAGAAGTAAACTAGAGCCCTTAGTCCATCTGCTCCCAGTGTGTCATAGCCCAGTACTTGGTCAGGGGTCTCAAGGCGTCCCTTTTGCCGTATGTAGGGAGATATACATTGGTAAGTTATAGATGACGGTGGTCGGGGCATGAGTAGAACCACATGCGGCAATCCTACCAAGATGATGTAGGTCAGACAGATGCCCCGACTTGTCATCACTCGAGTGTTGGGGTTTACTTCTCTGTGTGCCACCCACTCTCATCCGAAAGCCAGCTTCAGAAGCCCGTCCGGCTAGGGGCGTGGAGCTCGCCCCTACCGAACGGCTTGCTTTTCCCCAAAAGTTTGCTTTTTGAAACTCAAAATTCCCGCCACCTGAGCTGCTTACTGCGACCCCGCCCACTACGGAGTCGTCACGTAGTTAATCCATCGCCGCAAGGCTTTCTGGGAGAGCAAGCACCCCGGAAGCGGAAGTCCAGGAGTCAACTCGTCATTTCCTTCGGCGATAGGAGCTCAACGGACCTCTTTTCTCTTGCTCAGACGTATCGCGGAATGGAGGCGGTGAAGAGAGAGCGGGGGAGCCGGCGAAGGCACCGGGACGAGGACGTGGTGGCGGCAGCGGCGGTGGTGGTGAAGCAAGAGCGTCTCAGCCCGGAAGCCGCGCCTCCGGCCCACCGCCGTCCAGACTTCTCGGGTAGCGGCTCGTCCCCGCCGGCCGGCGAGCCGGGCCGCCCCAGCCACCGCGGGAGCCGAGCCCGAGGAGTTAGCCGGTGAGTCGGAAACGTCCTAGTGTGGACTTTGGGTTAGGTTCATTCAGAAAGGAGGTCAGGGTCAGCGTCAGAAGCAGGTTTTGAATACCAAGCGCAGCGGCCTGGACTTAATACTGAACCGGTGGGGGTGACCCTGTTGTCCTTACGATAAAGGAATGTTTACTCGGGTACCCGTCACTTGCTTTATTTCTGGGTGTTAGGAGCCTAACATCCCTTCCTCCTTGTGTCCCCAGCACTTTGCATAGTGTGGCCCAGCAGATAGCGCTGATCGTCTGTTAAATTGGAATGAGATTTTCCCTATCTGCCCACAAATGAAGTGCGGGTGTTGTCTTTCCAGTTATCTGCCCCAAAGTTTCCACATCAAGGTCTAGGCGAGGTACATGTTAGAAACTTTGGAGGGAAATTTTTTTGTTTCTTGCTAGACTTACTCATTTATGCATTCGTTCAGCATAGTTTTACAGTGTGCTGTTACATGGTAAATACTGTCCCAGGTACTGTGGCTGTAAGAGTGAACAAGGTAGACGGTCTTTACCTTCGAGAAATCGATCATACTCTTATCCCCAAGACAAACGATAACAAACAAATAAATAAAATAGATCCAGTTCATAAGAAGTATTAGAAATAAGTTAAAACAGTAATGTGATAGGGATTGGGAGAAGTGGGTAGAGACAGGGTCTGGCTGTTGCTCTGGCTGCTCTGGAACTCCTGATCTCAAGCAATCCCCCCAGTCCCCCACCCCAGCCCACCCCCGTCTCAAGTCTCCTAGAGTGCTAGGATTGCAGGCATGAGCCACTGCCCCTGGCCTAAGTTTCCACTTTTGAGAGTAAGAGGCTGAATGACCCAGCTTCTTAAAGATCCAGGCAGAGGAAACATGCAAAGAATGTGAAATAGAATTAAGTGTTATTGAAATTGGACAAAACAACAGTGTAGCAGTAGGAATGAGATAGGATAGAGAGGAAGTAGAGCAATAGGATGGAAGGATTAAGATGGGGGTTGGTGGTGGTAACTTCTGGGTGGTGGTGTCAATTAGCAAGATGTCATGGGAGAGGAAGGGTTTTTTGAGGGGTTGAGAATCAAGAGTTATCTGAGAAAGAAGGTGCAATAGGCAGGTGTATATGTGGGTTTGGGACTCAAGGGAGACTTCAAGGGTAGGAAAGTAAGCTCCTGCCAGTAGAAAGACTGCTCCTGGTCAGTAGACACCTTCACAAATGTGATTTTTAAGTAAGCCTGATATTTGAAGCTGATTTATATAGGGGAAGGGAAATGGAGATAAAATCTTGTGTGTACCATGCTCTGAATAAGGTCCCCAGCCAAAAAGAAAAACAAGTCCTCAGGGAGAAGAAGCAAGTCTCCTCGGAGTAAGAGAAGCCGAAGTCCTCATCACTCGACAGTCAAAGTGAAGCAGGTAAATGGAATTTGGATGTTTTGATGCTGGGTACAAATAGAGAGGCACGTCTCATCGTAGTTGAAGAGCATGAGTGAGTGAATGTGGGTGTATGTGTTGACCTGTACCTGAAATGGTTCCTAAAAACTGAGTGTGTCTTTTTGATGCTTGTTTGCCTTTTTTTTTTTTTGAGAGACAGAGTCTCATTTTGTTGCCCTTAGTAGAGTGCCATGGAGCACAGCTCACAGCAATCTCAAATTCTTGGGCTCAAGCTATTCTCTTGCCTCAGCCTCCCAAGTAGCTGGGGCTATAGGTGCCTGCCACAATGCCTGGTTATTTTTAGAGGCAGGGTCTTGCTCTGGTTCAGGCTGGTCTCAAACCATTGAGCTCAGGCAATCTCCCTGCCTCGGCCTCCCAGAATGCTTGGATTATAGGCGTGAGCCACTGTACCCCGCCTATGCTTGTTTTTTTTAATTTTTATTTTGAGGTAATTAGGGATTCATGTGCAGTCACAGATAATAAAGAGAGGCATCCTGTACCCAGTTTCTTCCAATAGCATCATCTTAACAGAATTATAATACAATATCATAATCAGAATATTGACTTCAGTACAGTTAAGATACAGAACATTTCCATCACCACAAAGATACCTCATGTCCTTTTATACCCATGCCCACTTCTCTCCCACCTATAACCCTCCTTAATTCTTGGAAACGTCTAATCTATTCTTTGTTTCCATGATTTTGTCATTTCAAGAATGTCACATAAATGCAATCATGCAGTAGTTAATCTTTGGGATTGTCTTTTTTCACTTAGAATTCTTTGGAGATTCACGTTGTTGTATCTGTCAGCAGTTCATTCCTTTCTGTTGCTAAACGGTAGTCCATGCTATGGATTTAGCCATTCACCTATTAAAGAACATCTGGGTTGTTTCCAGGTTTTGGCTGTTACACATAAAGCTACTGTACAAATGTTTGTGTACAGATTTTATGTGACCATTAGAAGTGGAAGGTTAAGATGTCAGCAGGTTTGGTTTTTCCTGAAGAATCCTTCTCTTTGGCTTCTGGATGAATACTTTCTCACTGTGTCCCTACCTATCCTCATCTTTTTTCTGTACAGGTAACCACATGTCTTTTTCTCTTGTTGTAAGGACACCAGCCCTATCGGACCAGTTCCCCCACTGTAATTTTAATTTAATCAACCTTTTATAAACCTACCTCAAAATTAGTTACATTCTGATGTATTTGAGTTTGCTACTTTAAGATAGTAGTTTTGGATGGCACAATTTAGTCTGTAACAGTAATTGTACTTTAAGTTTGCCACCAACAATGTATGAGTGATATAGTTTCTCTGTATCTTTTTTTTTTTTGCAGTTTTTGCAGTTTTTGCAGTTTTTGCCTGGGGCTGGGTTTGAACCTGCCACCTCCAGCATATGGGGCTGGTGCCCTACTCCTTTGAGCCATGGGTGCTGCCCAGTTTCTCTGTATCTTTACTAGGATTTAGTGTTACCACTTTATTTTAGCCATTCTGAGATGTATAGTGAATGATGAATCATTGTGATTTATTTTCTTGAGACAGAGTCTCACTATGTTGCCTTCACTAGAGTGCTGTGGCATCATAGCTCACAGCAACCTCTCAACCCTCAACCTCTTGGGCTTAAGCAATTCTCTTGCCTCACCTTCCCAAGTAGCTGGGACTACAGGTGTGCGCCACAACACCCGGCTATTTTTTGGTTGTAGTTGTCATTGTTGTTTGGCAGGCCTGTGCTGGGTTCAAACCCACCAGCTCCAGTGTATGTGGCTGGCACCCTAGCCGCTGAGCTACAGGCGCTGAGCCTATCATTGTGATTTTAATTTGCATTTCCCTAGGGCTAATGATGTTGAACATATTTTCAGTAGTTTAGTTCTCATCTGTATATAATAATCTCTCAAGTGAAATCTCTCTTTATATCTATTTTCTAATTAGATTATTTGCTTTTTTTTTTTTTTTTTTTACTGTACAGTTTTGAGAACTCTTTGTGTATTATAGATACTAGTCTTTTTGGATCTGTGGTTTACAGATATTTTCTCCTAATCTGTAACTTGTCTTTTCTTTTTTTTTTTTTTGAGACAGAGTCTCAA